GGGGGCAGGGGGGAGGGGGTATGGGATAAATCGTGTGAATGCTACCTAATGAGCACTAATTGTTTCTGCATAAATAGTGCAAATGTTTTGTGGGTATGGTTTTTTCAACAGCCTGATTAATAGGCTTTTTCAACGACAAGCTTGAAGTACAGTGTGGCTTTTCTCCCCTCTTCTCCCTTTCACTGTTTCCCCCTTCCTCCCTCCCACCCCTGGTTTCTTCCATCAGTAGGCAAAAGTCAAGCATTCTTTAGAATGGGATTAGTTAAATTTCTCGGTTCCTTTACCATTGTGAGCCAGGCTCCAAGTGCTGAGAGGTTAATAGCTGGGATGAAATCTTGTCAGTAGGCTCCGATGAATGCAGAATTTTGCTCCCGTGCTTTGAAGTCCATTCTGGCCTGGCAAGGAGACAATGAAAAGCAGAGTTTATCCATAACCCAACAATTAAATATTTGGAATGCCTCAAAATATACAGCATATATTTACAGCACAGAGAAGTTTTCTCCTTTAATAATAGGAGGTTAATGGATATTAAATGTGGACATTCTTTATCAACAAACTGGTTTGTTGCTTTATGTAACCCTTTATCGTATCTGTTTACGTGCGATAGGGAACTGAGGGCTTCTGAGGTTACAAAATGTTGATATTGATCCCGTGTAGGAAGGGTTAAAAGTGAAGCTTGGGTATTCACAAATAAAAAAAAAAGAAAGTAATTTTTCTGCCTGACAAACATATTGGTGGATTCTCTATTGCTGGAAGCTTTTGCATGAAGTGAACTGCTTTTCTTTCTAGATAAGCTGTAGTTCAAACAAGAACTAAATCTGGGGTGTCTGGCAGACCATATTATATAAAAAGTCAGCCTAAATAGTCGCAGTGGTTCATTCTTTCTCTCTGCCCCTGTAATCTATGCTTCAAAAACAAAATAAAAAAAATCATCAAGGAACATTCTGAAAGTAAAGTAGGAAGTAACTTCTCATCCTCCGCAAGAGACATGGCAAAGTGAAAGTCAAGCCGCAGGATGGACTGTTGTTGGTCGTTCAGTGATTTTTCATGTTTAGCAGCACTGCTATAAGCTGGTTAACCCCCAGAACACCAAATCTAAATCTTTTTTTAATTAAAAAAAGAAAAAAAGCCTAGCAAGTAGTAGGAAGTATGGGGGGGCCAGATGGTGAGAGGAGTGTATCAGTCAAGGCTACCAGTGATTTGTGCTTCTGTCATCAGAATAAACATGCCTTGTAGGGGTTGCTGTCTCCTAGTCAGAACAACAGGCTTTGTTTCCAGATTTTTTTCTTTCCTTTCTCTTTCTAAGTCTCTTACCTCCCACTCACTGCCCAGACATGCACTAGTGCTCTTATTTACTTAAGGTGCAACTTTCCCACACTTGATTTGCATAGTCTTGAAACAATGCTGTCCTTCTGGTGCTTTCAGATAACTTCTGCTTGCCAAGTTAGACCAATATCTTTAAAGTGAACACAGAAACAAGATTCTATTTTCTTTTAAGTTTTGATGAGTCATATAGCCTGTATGTTACAAATGCAACAGCGTTTAAAAATAACATCCCAGCAGAAACTGCTCTGGGTTCTGGTACAATAGACAACTTGCAAACATTCTTAAAATATCCTTTTCCCTTTTGGTGCGAGTCACTTTCTTTAATGCAGGCCAGCCAGCAAAACCATATTTACTCATGAATCACTATACAAGGAAAGTTAACTAAATTTCTCATGAGAAACTGCTGCATACATATTATTAAACAAGAATTATTACCATGAATCTTTTTCTGGAATTGATATCTAACTTTTTTTTTTTTTTTTAAAATGCCCATAGCCTTATCCAGTTTTGTTTGTTACACTTTGAAGCTGATGTTTGAAGAAAGTCATCTCTTTGGCTCTAAAGCTCATGGCTTTTTTCCTGTATGTTGTTTTTTTTTGTTTGTTTGTTTTAATTACTTGTTTCTCTTTACACTTGCTTTAAAGCAAACAAAAAACCCCACCCCTTTGATTTGACAGAAAGCAGTAACATTCTCTATTTGGATACCTGTTTTTGCAGGTGAGGTCCCTTAGTTTTGCTTGTGTGCAAGCTCACAGGCAAGTTGCTTTGAATGCAATACAGATTACAAGGGTACATGCCTATATTTTGATCTTTGTGCATTCTTATTATATTCCCTGTACAGAAGGATTTTCCAACAGCTACTTGAGAGAGGTTATTTTGCCTGATCTGGTTTTCTTTCATGTTCTTTGCACACAAAGACACATAAGTTGGCCTAGCTTTTTTTTTTTTATTAACACACAAACTAATAAGAATTTCCCCTTGACTTTGAATAGGCTGCTATTGAAATAGCTATTAAAAAAAAAAAGTTAATTAGGATGCAGTTTGTCACCTGAGATTTTTAGAAGGGAAGCTGGACTTACCGCTAGCTGTGTGTGATTACCCATTGGCTAGATCCTTTTAGCTTTTTCCCATGAGAAGAAATTGCCAGTCGAAGAATGGCGGGGGGTTTTATAAATAGAAAGCTTAGCTGACTTCTGTACAGATGAGGTTTGTTTTCATAATTTAGTGACAGCTTAGTGCATAATTGCTGCTGATCAATTACTCTCAGGACCTGTTAATGAAATACACTACCTCAGCAAACCCTTGCTTTTCATTTTCAACTTGTTTTCCTTGTTTCTATCTATAGATCCACTTTAATTTGAAGAATCCTTGGCCTGCCTTGCTAGTGAGAACTAAATGAAAGCCAAAACGAGCTTTCCCTTAAGGGGGCTTTACTTTAAAGCAACTTCCTCCTTCTAAGTATAGAATTCAGGTAGCTCGCTGATAGTGGCAATAAATAATTTAAATAATAATAAATTCTTCTCCAGACATGAAAATAAAGTTTCTCAGAATTGGATATGTTTTAGTTATGAAAAGAGGTTAGCATAAATCAAACTCTCAAATACACTGACAACTGATCATCTTTGAACACATGTAAAATCCTGATGCGTGCTGTTTTCTTTCTTCTCTTACTGTGGCCCAGTCCATACTTGCCGTGTGTGTCTTCTAGCTCAGAATAAGGTTAGCTTCCGATAGAGCAGAGAACACCTAGCGCTTTGCTACTGCCTTGCTGAGGGCTCGGAGTTGGTGTTTATGGTTTTGTTTGTCTTTCTGCAAACCAGTGCGGCTGAAATGCCCAGGACTTTGTATTCACGAGGATCTCTGGATAACTGTTGTTTCCACTGACTTTTTCGCCCCCCCCTCAATTTATAAAGCACCCTGTCAAAGTCCAGAGATTGATTTGTAGTGCACACCCACCCTCTCTGCCACATTTGTATGAGGCTCCAAAAGAGTATTATTGTGCTGAATGGCCTCATGCTGGTTCTCTCAGAACAGTTATTCTTTTGTCAGGAGACTGGCTACAGAGACCTTGGCAAAACTACTAAAATGTTTGTTTACAAGAAACCATCAAACAAACCTTGAATAGCTTCTCCCCTCCCCTCCTCCTGCCCTTCTCCCCCACCTCCCCAGGCTTTCTCCAAGCTTTGGAGTTCCACACTCGTGTTTACACAGAGCAATTCTAACGGGTTTTTGGTTTGTTTCCCTGTCGTGATTTTCTTTTCTTTTTTAATCGAAGGTGTCAGTATGGATGGCAAGGCCAGTACTGCGATAAGTGCATTCCACACCCAGGATGTGTCCATGGCACTTGCATTGAACCATGGCAATGCCTCTGTGAAACCAACTGGGGCGGTCAGCTCTGTGACAAAGGTATGCTAATCTTATGGATAGCCAAGTGTAACTCTTGAATTTTAACACTGGCAGACTTAGCAAGGAGAGAGCGCACGCGAGACCGAGTGAGCCTCCTGAAATATGGTGGGAGTTTTTTGTCCTTCAGCTACTTAGCGTTGTCTCCTCTGCTGTTCTGGCATTGTTAGCGTATGTGCTTAGCTTTTCCCTGTCCCGTCCTATCCTTGCATGCGGGTGTATTCTGGAAAGGCTCTAGAATAATGGAACAAAGCATGCATGTGGTGATGTTTCTGTTTTTTTTTCAACCATGACTTTAATGCTCCTCACCTCTTGCAGATCTGAACTACTGTGGAACCCACCCACCCTGTTTGAATGGTGGTACCTGCAGCAACACTGGCCCTGACAAATACCAATGTTCCTGCCCTGAGGGCTACTCAGGACAGAACTGTGAAATCGGTAAGTGTTTGATGCAGCCGCTGAACTGCCACTTGGTAGTTAATTCTTGCCTTGTTTTGGGTATATTTTGGTTGGGGAAAAGTCAGTTTCTAATATTACGATGCCAGGGCTAGCTACAAAGATCCAGACTTGCTTGTTCATGCTTCATCATGAACAGTTGGTATCTCTGAACATCAGCCGGAGAGATCACTACAAGTTACCTTGTCTGGCTCCGACTCAAACAGGTGCGAGTCAGTGTGGCGATGAGTTTAGCAGGGAAGATGACTTCCTGCTGTCTAGGAGCTTTTTGATTCGCAGTTCTCACAGGAGTGCAATACATCAAGGGTAATGACGGTGTCTCCAGAGTAGAAGCGTGCGGAGGGAGCAGGGGGCGGCTTCTGGTGATGCTGCTATAGTCTCTACCGTGCTGTACTTCTGTCTTGCTGCAGCGGAGCACGCCTGCCTCTCTGATCCTTGTCACAATGGAGGAAGCTGCTTAGAGACGTCTACGGGATTTGAATGCGTGTGTGCGCCTGGCTGGGCTGGACCAACTTGCACTGATAGTAAGTCCTTTCAACATTGTATTAAAAATGTGCTAGTTTGCTGTTTTTGATCAGTCTTTCTAACCCCTGATAAACTTCCAGGGCAGCCTGTTTAACCTTTCCCAGCTTTAGCATTGGTTCACAGCAGCCACTTACACCACCGTGCACTCTCTTCTCCTTGGCTTGTACCAAGGTTTTTGTTAAATGCCAGGGGAAAGAATGGCGAACGGCTTCTTGAAAGAAGCAGAACGCTGAATTTTTGTTGTTTAAAATACTGTTTAGAGAGACTTGCTGGATCAAAATCTGACTTCGCTTGCAAAAAGGCCACAGGTGTAAACTTCTTCCCCTGTGCTTTGAACCCCCTTTCACACTACTATTACTTTTAACGGAGGCTTTTGCTGAAATCAGAGTAGACCTAGAAACTGCAAGTAGAAGTCCTGTTGTCTTTCTGTTCCTCAGGGCAAATCGTAGTAGCAGCAACCATTTATCAAATTTGTCAGTTACTGACACTGCCTGTTCGGCAACAGAGCTGAGCCTCTCCTTACTCTGCGTTACAGATATTGATGATTGTTCTCCAAATCCCTGTGGTCATGGAGGAACTTGCCAAGATCTAGTTGATGGATTTAAGTGTATTTGCCCATCTCAGTGGACTGGCAAAACGTGCCAGCTAGGTGAGAACTGCTTTTCTCTTCATCCAGTGTCGCTCTGGGCAGGGGGGAGAGAGGTAAATGCAAAAGGGATCACAGTCCAGCAGGCAAGGGCGATCGTGCCTGTTGTGTTAGGTGCGTTTCTGGTTCCGAAGCCCATGGACGTATTCTGGCACGTCGAGAATATTCAGTGTCGGTGGTCGCAGGACTGGGGTCTGGGGCAGTCTCAAAGCACAGAGTGGCTTCCTTCTGTCGTCATTTTGCTGATGCATGCTAGAAGTTGAAGGAAAGAGTTAACTAAGCCAGAGAGACATACTTTAAAGGTAAATGAACTGAAGTGGGGAGGGTGCATGTGTATGCCTTCCAGTCCCGCCCCCACATGCATTTCTTCCTTTAGCCTTTGAGAAAGTTGCTGTATCTCTTCAGCCATGTCAACTCCTCCAGACCAAGGAGTTCACAGCTGGGTTCCAAAATGTGGATGATCTCACGAAGAATGAGCTGTCTGCATTCTTTACACAACACACTAATCCTAATGACCAGGCTGCAAAACTCCTCCTTCAAAATGCTCGGCTGAGATGTGTATGTGGGGGGGAAGTGGCTCTTAATGAGTGGCTGGGTAATTATCAAATAATTAGTGTAGCCTGTATGTCCTAATTGCAGAGAAATTGAAAGAGACTTCAGAGACTGATGTATGATTGACTTTTGTTCGTTCAAGTCACGCTAATCCATGCTGTATATTACAAGTTCCTCTTAGATCTGAATGAACTGCCGATTATTGCTGTGAAAACCGGCTGTAGGCTTTTTTTCTTCTCCCCCCCTGCCCTACAAGCCCTGCATTTGGCCATTCACATTGTTTTTTCAGATGCGAATGAATGTGAGGGCAAACCCTGTGTCAATGCCAACTCCTGCAGGAACCTGATTGGCAGCTACTATTGTGACTGCATTACTGGTTGGTCTGGCCACAACTGTGAGATAAGTAAGTGTCTATATCCTTGGGTTTATTAAAGGCCAGTTGTGTTTGGATATGTATGTATGCCACCGAGTTCTAAGCTGGGATTTAAACATCAGGCGGAGGCCCAGCGCTTGATGTTTTTAGAAAGGGAGTAGTTGGTGTGGAATGAAAATACACAATTTTATCAAATTCATTAGTCCATAACATAGCTATATTCTGATAAAGCGACTAAAACAATGATGTGACATTTCACTGCCTCTAGTAGAAGAATCGCGAAAGGTTCCCACCCATTATAATAACCTTATCTCAAGGAAGGCATGCAGGAAACTTGACAAAAGGTTTATCTAGCTGCAGTTTTAGAGAGACTTGAACTCTGTATCTAAGGTAAATATATTTTTGCCTTCTAACCACGCTAATTTTATTACAGATATTAACGACTGTCGTGGACAATGTCAGAATGGAGGATCCTGTCGGGTGAGCCATTCTTGTTTTGATTTTGGTTTCCCTGAGACTTGCAACAGTAACTAAAACATTTGAGTCTAAACACAAATAGTGTGGAAAATTGCAATTAGCCAGTAGAAATTGTCATTTCTTTAAGTTGGGGGGGAGGGCCTGTGTCATGCCACAGCATGTCGGGGTATGTGTGTAGAACAGCAAGGGCAAAAGATGTAACTGCCGTAAATGACTCGTGTTCACTGCCAGTGCCACCAGTGAATGGGCTGGTTATTGTGGAAAATACCTGCTGTAAATGTAGATACTCCCCTTCAGAACGCGGATTAATGTATCCTGCCTGGAAATTAAGAATGTAAGCCAGTACTGGTGTGTTTCTGTGTGTGTGTTTATTTCCCCCCCCCCTAATTATTCTTGCCTTGTTTGGACATAGTAAGAGGATATATTTTTTTGGACTGTTTTTTTTTTTTTTTTCTTTAATAAGAATATACCAAGAGGGAGGAAAAAACCTTAACTCTAACCTTTCTTGTTCCTTCCCAGGACTTGGTTAATGGTTATCGGTGTATCTGTTCACCTGGCTACGCAGGAGATCACTGTGAGAAAGACATCAATGAATGTGCAAGTAACCCTTGCATGAATGGGGGTCATTGCCAGGATGAAATCAATGGATTCCAGTGTCTGTGTCCCGCTGGTTTCTCAGGAAACCTCTGTCAGGTAAGAAGCACGGCTGAAAGGCAGGCCCTCGGCCAGTGGCGTTTCTACCAGCGCTCGGGATCTCTATGCTGAATGCCTTGCATCCAGTGAACCGTAGTATAAAGTTGTACTTGATATCGCTGTCAGTCTGCCAAGAAAGGGCTTGATTAATATATACTGGGGGGGGAAGAAACCAACAAAAAGCACTCACGGGCTGCTGAGGATTCTTTTTGTTAAACAGCCTGCAAGTGTTTGCGTGTCAGGTTTTGTTGCACGCTAACTATTAACTTTCAGTGGCTGTTTAATATCAAGAGCGCTGTCTGCTGAAACAGTTGCAAGTCTAACTAAACTCTGTGCATTATGAACGATTCACTGAGGCAGCAGATAAAAAGGTCAGATTCCACAATGTCTGCCTGCCGTAGCAAGGGAAAGCTATGATAAAACTTCTGTTTCACACAGCCTCCCCCCACCCCTTTTTTTTCTTCTTTTTATTTCCCTTTCCTCTCTCTACGCTACTTGCAGCTGGACATAGATTATTGTGAGCCAAATCCTTGCCAGAACGGTGCCCAGTGCTTCAATCTTGCTATGGACTATTTCTGTAACTGCCCTGAAGATTACGAAGGGAAGAACTGCTCCCACCTGAAAGATCACTGCCGCACAACTCCTTGCGAAGGTTTGTGTTACCTTGCAGGCGAACGGCAATGACTGGCAATAGTTTCTGCCCCTCCCCTGGCTGAAGCTATAACGCAGCTCCAATAATGTCATCAGTGGAGTAGCTCTTGTATAAAGAGGCTGAATTTTGCCCTGTGCCTCATGCCTGTATTTGTATGAGAAGATAAGTACTAATTATAAATATATAACTCTTTGAAAGACAGCGTTATGTCAATGTGGATGGAAAACACATGTAGCAAATAGCCTGAATTTATTCCAGGCCACAGACGTGGTCCGGCAATCTTCAGATAAGATGCTGTCATTATTTTATGCACAAACACTTGCTATAGTCCTTTTATTTCAAAGCAGCAAGCATATTTGGCGCTGTTAGGTTTACGGTTGGACTCTGCGAACCTAAAGGTCTTCTCCAACCTAAATGATTCTATGATATGTCTGTCTTTTAAAAGTCCATCACTGGAAACTGAAATGTTGCTCTTGGCTTAAGACATCAGATAGAATGGGTAATCCTCACGCAGGTCTCTGCTTTTTCTACAGTGATTGACAGCTGTACCGTGGCAGTAGCTTCTAACAGCACGCCGGAAGGGGTTCGTTATATTTCTTCAAATGTCTGTGGTCCTCACGGAAAATGCAAGAGCCAGGCAGGTGGAAAATTCACCTGTGAATGCAACAAAGGATTCACTGGCACCTACTGCCACGAGAGTAAGAGCTAAAAAGATAACATGTTTTACCGTCCCCCGTTCTTTTTTGGAAAAAGATTCCATCCTTTCCTCCCAGGCTGCTTTAAGGTTTCTTTCCTGTAACACAGCGAACCTTGGAACTGCTTTAAGTTTTCATATCCCGTTTGGGCGAGGCAGATTGGAATTTGCTAGGCCTTGGGGAAAGTTCACAGTAATGAACCTTCTGGCCTTGAATTGTATATTTTTAAAAAACCTTATGTATACAAGGTCTGAGGTAGTTAATAGTGGGGTTTAACATGGATCTTAAGGACTCTTTTTTTGTTGTTTTTAATAGTAATTGTTGAGTGACAGGCTCATCACTCTGTGCACTGTTTTTCAGCTATTTCTCATCTTGCTTGTAACCCTTCCTCACAAAAGGGGCTTAGAAATGGAAGTAGCATCAAATAGTCTGCAATAAGATGATGACTTCTAGTAGCTGTACTTCTCATTTGATTTTTTTTTTCTTCTTTCCCCCCCCCTCCAAACTGTTGCAGATATTAATGACTGCGAGAGCAACCCCTGTAAAAATGGTGGCACTTGTATCGATGGCATCAACTCCTACAAATGTATTTGTAGTGACGGATGGGAAGGAACATATTGTGAAACAAGTAAGTTAACCGTTCTTCGGCACGCAGAAAGATCTCTTGGATAAAGACAGCACCAGCCATTCCTTCCTGATGTTTAAGATGGTAGCGACCGATGCCAATTCAACATAAACTCTGCTTCAAAGGCTGCAGAGGACAAGGTGTCCTCTTTTTTTTTCCCCACTAAGTCCCAGACTTTTGCATCAGAACTAAACCCAAGTTACGAAGCTGGACTGGGCGTAGAACCTGGCTCTCCTACTGTTGAAGTTTCTGCTCTACCCTTTGGATAACGTTCTGTAAGAAGCCCTGAGCATTAGTACGCACCATTTTAGGAGTGGCGTATCTTGTATTTTGTCAGTCTCGGGAATAGACGAGGAGCGAGCACTCAGCTCTGACCTTCTGGCTGATAGGATAGTTTGTAATGGGCCTTTTCACTTCTTGTTTACTGAAACAAGATGACAAACAAAAATGAAAACAAACTGGAGGAACGTGGTGGAACATTCTTCATCTCTGTGACAGTGCTTAAAGCTTTAAAATACTGTCTTAATCCATGATTGAAACACAGGCCAAAACTAGGGATGGGACACGTGCCTTTCAAGCATTAAGTGTTTGTCAATTCTGTAAACATTGCTTAGCTTGTTTTCTCTCCTTAACACATCTAGATATTAACGACTGCAGTAAAAACCCTTGCCACAACGGAGGAACTTGCAGAGACTTGGTCAACGACTTCTTCTGTGAATGTAAAAACGGGTGGAAAGGAAAAACTTGCCACTCCCGTAAGTTCAGCATTTCCAAAACACAACAGGCGTGCTCTGTTAGGCCGCTTCACCTTGTTGCGTTGTGTTAAGAAAGCGCTGGTATTAAGGGCAGTTTGGGTTCTTCACAGGTGACAGCCAGTGCGACGAGGCAACGTGCAACAACGGAGGAACATGTTATGACGAGGGGGACACTTTCAAGTGCATGTGTCCGGCAGGATGGGAAGGAGCCACTTGTAATATAGGTAAATACCCTGCGTAATCACCAGGAAGCAGATGCAGCGCTGAATCTGTGACCTCAGTTTTTCCTCTTGGCTCAGTTTTGACGGCTTTCTAACAACTTGGCGGCAAATCTTGTTTCTGTTACAGCAAGGAACAGCAGCTGCCTGCCAAACCCCTGTCACAACGGTGGTACCTGTGTAGTCAGCGGGGATTCTTTTACTTGTGTCTGCAAGGAGGGCTGGGAAGGACCCACGTGTACTCAGAGTAAGTCGTCTCTGCTTGAACTTTTCCAGAGTGTTGTGTGATGAGAACATTAGCTCATCCTGTCACCCTTGGAGCGAAGATTGAAACCAGAAGGGAAAGCTTGTTTGATGTTGGCTTTAGCATCACCTGAATCTTTGTTTTTAATGACTTTATGTGATAGAGCCTTGACCTGGGCATGAGAAAGTTGCAAATGAGCTAAGTGGAGACAGATGTTGTCTTGTTTTCTCCCGCATTCTTTTTCTACGAGCAGCTCTGTCTGCTTCCACAGTATTTTTTTTTTTTTCCCCTGTTAGATTCTTTACAACGATCTCTTCCTGTGTACATGTGTTCCACAATGTAGTTAACAAATTTTGTGGTAGAAGCCTGGAACCAATTTAGTAGAGAATTTCGGCATATTTTTGTTAAAGTTGAGCTAAGTGTAACTGGGGCATTAGAGGAAGCTTGATCATTCTTTACTGACAGTAGAGTCGTATTAGCCAAAGTCGGCGTATTTAATGTTCTCTGTCTTTGCTTTGCAGACACAAACGACTGCAGTCCACATCCTTGGTAAGGTTTAATATGTTTATCTTTCATCCTTTGCTTATTTTGTTGCTTTAGAACTTTAGATTCTTTTTATCCGGAGCAGTTTTTTTAATGTGTATAATGACTTTTCTTTATAGTTATAATAGTGGCACTTGTGTGGATGGAGACAACTGGTACCGCTGTGAATGCGCTCCAGGCTTCGCAGGTCCCGACTGCAGGATCAGTAAGTGTTTCAGTGGCGCTCTACCTTGATTTTTTGTCTCGCTTGAATCTTGTTGCGAGACAATCATTGTAATTGAGTTAAGTGGTAGATCAGATTAACGATAGATGTCCTGTCTTCTGTATCCATATCTCGGTCTGTAGCAGATGTGGGGAGGGCAGGACTTGTACTGAAAAGGAAAGAAGTCTTCAAGTCCGCTCAGCTGGAGCTGAAAGCTCTTGGTTCAGCTGAGTGGGCAAAATGCCCTTCAGGATAGCCTTTCCAGTTAGTGTGTTTGCGTGGCATAGGTTTCTGCCTGAGATGAAAGCGTGCCAGCCAAAAACCTTGTCAATTAATAATCCACCTACAAGCCCCGAGGTGATGTATGCACTTCCCTGTAATTTAATAATAATTACAGGTAGGAGGACACGAACACTTTTTTTTTTAATAACAGCCATGGAAATAGAAGTTTCATAGTAGTAATACAACTGGAAAGGGGTTTAACGTTGTCATGGGTTGAAGAATCTAGCAGGGGGACAAAACTGGAGTACGTCAAAGGAGAGGAAGCATGTTTGCGAGAAGGAATCTGTCCTTGCCCTTGACAAGCTTAAGTAGCCATAGGGGTCAGGTTTTGATCTTTGTTAGTGCCACACAGCAGAAACTCCAAAGAACTTGCTTGGAGATTATACCTGTGCTGCCAATAAGAATCCATCTCCGAGTAGACACTAGAAAATGAACAGAAAGCTCCAGTAGGCAAATCTCTCATGTGTTTTTGTTTTGTTTTGTTTTTTTTCCCTGACAAAATAAAAGGATACGATAGAGTAACTCTTTTATTTCCTCTCCTTCCCATCACAGATATCAACGAATGCCAGTCTTCACCCTGTGCCTTTGGAGCTACGTGCATAGATGAAATTAACGGGTACCGTTGCATTTGCCCGCCGGGCCGTAGTGGTCCAGGATGCCAAGAAGGTATTCCAGAAGTCACAGCTGGTCACACTACTTGTAGCAAGAGCTGTGTCATTGCATGTTAACGCGTTTGTGGTTGTACGGGGGTTTTGTTGTTGTTTTAAAGCAAGTATCTTTATTGAAGCAGCAAACTTAGTGATAAGTTTTTAGATGAACTTAGGAAAGGGTTTTTTCACTTTTTTTCCCTGTTTTAAGTTTATAATTTTGTTCACTCTCCCTTCAGTTACAGGAAGGCCTTGCATTACCAGTGTTCGAGTAATGCCAGATGGGGCTAAGTGGGATGATGACTGTAATACCTGTCAGTGCTTGAATGGAAAAGTCACCTGTTCAAAGGTACGGCTGTGCTGTCTTTCGGGTTATACCATCCCCTCTCCTGTAGCCAGCGGTTACTTACTGGTATTTGTTCTCTTCTAGGTTTGGTGTGGTCCTCGACCTTGTGTCATCCACGCCAAAGGTCCTAACGACTGCCCGGCTGGACATGCGTGTGTTCCTGTTAGAGACGACCACTGTTTCACTCACCCTTGTGCTGCGGTGGGTGAATGTTGGCCTTCGAATCAACAGCCCGTGAAGACCAAATGCAATTCTGATTCTTACTACCAAGACAACTGTGCCAACATCACCTTTACCTTTAATAAAGAAATGATGGCACCAGTAAGTAGCAGAACGTAGCTCGCCACGCTGCAGCACGCGCGCGCTTGCTTCCCAGAGCACGAAACAACTTTTTTGACTGGTAAAAGTACAGTAAAAGCTGACACTCCCTTATTATCAAAGAAAACAGAAGGTATAGAAGGATTAATACAGACTTGTACCCTAAATACTTTTGGGGCCAGAGAAGAACAAAAGCTGATTTGGAGGGAATTCCACCTCCTCTTCCCTTGAGAACTCTTATTTGGGGGGTGGGGGGGAATAAATTCTTGTATCTGTGTGTTCGTGTGCACATGTAGTTAAAAGAAACCCAACACCTTTTTTGTGTCCTCCAGGGACTTACCACAGAGCACATTTGCAGTGAATTGAGGAATCTGAATATTCTGAAGAATGTCTCTGTTGAATATTCCATTTATATTACCTGCGAGCCTTCGCACTTGGCAAACAATGAAATACATGTTGCTATTGTAAGTACTCCTGGAATATTTTTAAATGTCTTAGCAGTTAATTGCTTGGATATGTGTGCAACATGTGGATTTCATAAAAATCATAATTCCTGGCTTTGTCAGCATTTCTCGTGGCTTAGTTTCCATCCCAATTCCCTTAAAGAACAGGGAAGAAATCCTGGTTGCATGTGCATACCTGAGAGCTGCCATCTGGTAGCAACTGCAGTAGGGTAGTAAAACAGTTTTCTGTTATACTCCCTTGAGCGCTGCTTTTGGGGTTGGTGGGGGTTTTTTGCCGTCTTCTTAAAGATAGGGACAGAAATTCTGCATTATTAGTTTCTGCCCAGAGCTGGGCTTTTTAAACTATGTTTTTTAAGTATTTTTAAGTATTAAGTATTTTTAAGTATTCTTTAAGTATTAAAAGTACTTGAGAGCCTTAACTGATTGCGAAAGTTTATAAATAGCAGATAACCCACGCATCTGAGCTGGCATTTGGCATTAATTGTACGACTTCTTCTGTAGTCTGCAGAAGATATAGGGGAAGATGAAAACCCAATCAAAGACATCACAGATAAGATTATTGACCTTGTCAGTAAGCGCGATGGTAACAACACGCTGATCGCTGCAGTGGCGGAAGTCAGAGTACAACGGCGACCGGTGAAAAACAAAACGGGTAAGCTTTTCCTTGTCTCCGCACACTCGTACGCTCGCCCTGACTAGAACAGCCTTTCGGGGCGGGTGAAGCTCTTCTCGCTTTTGAGATCTGTAGCAAGTCTGAGCATCTCTGCCTCTTGGCCCTGTTAACTGGGAACAATACGGAGGCTGTGCACCAGGATCTTATTACTTAAACAAACACAAAAAAAGCTAAAAAGTTCTGAAAATGCTCTAAACCAGTGGCCTAACCTGTTGAAAGGGCTGCTACTTGTCAGCCTTCTTCATGGAGAAATAAGGAAGCAGCAAGCTAGTGAAGTCGGAAGAGTAGAAATACACTAAATACAATAGATAAATGCAATAAATAAATACGATAAATACACTAGAGACCCTTCCCGTGTATTTACCTGGCGATGCTGCTGTCCAAACGCGACGAATTCCGTGTTAAGGTCAGAAGCGTCCCCTGGCCGTCCACGCAGCGCCAGGCGCGCGCTGGCATCTTACTGATGGCCGCCGCGGGGAGAGAAACGACCGTGGCGGGTGGGTGTGGAGCCAGCGGCCCTCAGGCCGGGAGATGTTCCCTCTGAGCTGGGAGCCGCGGCAGGGCACCGTAAGGAAGCCTGCGTTACTGTTGCCTGTGCTGACGTGGCTCTGTGGATAAGAGGAAGAAAATTCGAGTCCTAAACTGACTTTAAACACCGCCCTGACTTGGTTTCTTTGTAGAAAGCCTCGACTGGAAGGCTTGGCTCGCAGCAGGGTTAACTGGTCTCGTATCTCTTCCAGATTTCCTGGTGCCGTTACTGAGCTCGGTCCTAACAGTAGCCTGGATCTGCTGCCTGGTAACTGTTTTTTATTGGTGCATTCGAAAGCGCCGAAAGCAGAGCAGCCATACTCACACGGCGTCCGACGACAACACTACCAACAACGTAAGGGAGCAGCTGAATCAGATCAAAAACCCCATTGAGAAACACGGAGCAAATACTGTCCCCATTAAAGACTACGAGAACAAAAACTCTAAAATTGCCAAAATAAGGACACACAATTCGGAGGTGGAGGAAGACGACATGGACAAACACCAGCAGAAGGCCCGCTTCGCCAAGCAGCCAGCGTACACTTTGGTAGACAGAGATGAAAAGCCCCCCAACAGCACACCTACAAAACACCCGAACTGGACAAATAAACAAGACAACAGAGACTTGGAAAGTGCACAAAGCCTAAATAGAATGGAGTACATTGTATAGCAGACAGTGGGGTGCTGCCATGCAGGGCCTTTAAATAGCGTTATAAAGGCACTCAAGAGCTTGTAGTTCTTAAACCGTCGTGTAATATTTGAGTCTAAGGCTATTATTTACTTAGAATCCCTGTGTTAATTTAAGTTTTGACAAGCTGGCTTACACTGGCAATGATAGTTGCTGTGGTTGGCTGGAATACCAAGTGCTGCATTTCACATCTATGCAAAACTAGTCAAAAGTGCCCTCCCGTAAATTCAGCTGTAGCTGACACATCATGGAAACGTTTCATAAGGTATTGCGTAGCCTTATTACTCTTCCGTAGCGTTCATTTTTATTTTTTTTCTTTTTCTGCCAGATGTCCCCATTTATACGGTCTCTCTAGAATAATACATTTTATTTATATTTATTGAATTTGAGTTTTTTGTATATTGGTTTTATGGTGACGTACAACTAGTTCTGTATTTGAAAGTGCCTTTGCAGCTCGGAACCACAGCAACTATCAAAAATAAGTTTATTATTTATTTTTTTATTGTATTTTTGTTGGGGGTGGGTGGGGGGAACTTGTCAGCAGTTGCTGGTAAATGAAGAATTTAAAGAGGAAAATGTGTCAAAAATAGAAGTTTGTATAGATATGTAAATAATTCTTTTTTTTATTAATCACTGTGTATATTTGATTTATTAACTTAATAATCAAGAGCCTTAAAATATCATTCCTTTTTATTTATATGTATGTGTTTAGAGCTGAAGGTTTTTGATAGCATCGTAAGCTTGTGGCTTCTCTATTTTGAATTTATTTTCTTGTTACATGTTGCCTATATGCCAAAACTAAGGTGTTCTAAAATAGTTTATTTTTAATAGGATGGGCTTTCACGCCTTGATGCTGGTTTTTGTACAATGTCAAACGTTTGAAACACCTTCCATAGTATCACTTTAAGACTATTTGTAAGTACTGACTGAGGCAGTTTAGCTAATTAGACTAGAAAATTTTTTTTGCTGCTTTAGACTTGAAAAACGAGTGACAGGCAGAGAATCTGCTAAGAAGCAGTTTAAGGGAACAAAACTGAGCTATTACTTTATGTAGATGAAATGTGAGTGGTTGCATGTAATTAAAATATCAAATTAGCGTGTGAAGTTGGAAACACAGCAATCTTATTTTGTAAATTCTGATTATTTTTTTTTCTCACCATGAATATGTAATACTGAACCACTTGTAGATTTGACTTTTTTTGTAATCTACTGCATTTAGGGAGTATTCTTCTAATAAGCTAGTTGTTGAATACTTGAACAGTAGAATGTCCAGTAAGATCACTGTGTAGGTTTGCCATAGATTACACTGCCCGCCTTAACAAGTGAGGAAATCAAAGTGCTATTACAACGTTTAAGATCAAAAGGCTTATAAACATAGGCATCTCGGTGGTTAACCATCGAGATCGCGAAGATACCTTGTATTGTGATATTAGTGTTATATGAAAATGCATCTTTGATGTGTTGTTCCTGGCAATAAATCTTGAAAAGTAATATTTATTAAATTTTTTGTATGAAAACATAAAAGAGCGTGGAGATTATTGAGCTCGGAGGCGTTCCCGGCTCGTCAGCTGTGCAAAAGCAGGGGCAGGTGCCGGTTTACGTTTCCAAGACCTGCCGCCGACGTCAGTGGAGTTGGGTTTTTGTTAGATGACGACATGTTCCCCTCTGGCTCCGAATCACAGCCTCCCCCTTGCGCTCGGTGTCTCTTGGCTAACGTCCCTCCCTGCGCTCCCCTACGAGGATGACGATGGGAGCGGAATTGTGCAACGAGGTTACTTTGCGTGGGCCGATGAGCCAGCACCGGAGAGTAACCAGCTCCGCGTAGCTAGGCAAGGCACAAACTGCTGAGCTGGATGGGAAAGCAGCCACCGATGATACTGATTTCTAATGGGCACAAAGTGCTTTGCGAAGCATAAAATAAACTCTTACAATATCCTATCAATATTGCAAACTCACGTTAAAAGGAGATTCACAGGAACGGGGGACTGCTCTGGCTCTCCACCACCACGCGCCACGTAACTTAGGTACCGCAGAATCTCCAGGTTACCGCCTGCTGAGGGGGAAGCCCACGAGATCAGCCTCGCCTGCCCGCTTCAAGGATTCCTCATCAAACAAACAGCGCCCGGGAGTATTTCTTTCCTTTTGTTCCCCAACTTCTACAATCTGCAATAAAGCAAATGCCTCCTGTCTAAAAAAGCCACTTGAAGCTATCGGAACCCCCCCCGCCTCAGAAGCACAAAGCGAGGCGATCAGCTGAAGGCCTTCCCCGCTTTTAATGCTGAATTAACCACCTGCCTGAAGGCTGCTGTGCACCTAGGTCTCAAATTCAACGATGCAGAAACCAACGGCCTCTTCTAAATGACTGAAACATTCATACCCGAGTTTGCAGGAATAAATCCGAGTCTGCCTTCTATTAAGCAAAAAAAAAATAAAATAAAATAGAACAGGGCTTTTGCTGGTCCTGGGACACGAATTTGACAGCCTGCTTCGAAACCTACGGAGGCAAATTCTAATTACAGGCTTTAAGACAGCGACAAAGCTGTTCAGACCTCTGACCGCTCAGTGCAGAGCAGAGCCTGGGTCCCTCAAGCTTCAAAACTTGTCAAAGCCTTGAGCACAGCGTTCATTTCTTTATTTCCAGCCTTCCCTGTGCTACAAAGCCCTGTACTGACCACGCAGAGGTTTTGCTACCGCAGAGCTTCTCCACACACGACCGATTTTTCCCATATAACTCATTTCGTCGCTACCTCATAGCGTTATAAAATTAGAGCCGCACAAGTTGTACAGGGGGAGGGAAGAGAATTCTGTGAATTTGCTATAATGATATTTTTAAATTATAGCCTCCTATCTCAGGGGTAGCTTCAAAATTTACACAGGTGATTTTAAAACAAAAAGAGTCTTCCAAAGCCCAGAACTACCACCATGCCGGGGGCTGCTATGCGGAGCGTTCTCCGGTGTCATGAAAATAAATAGCAACACGAAGCTTAGGGCTTCCCCATCAGAATACCACGGCACATTTATTTTTTGTGGAAATTATACTTTGCCAGTACATAGTTTACTACTCTGGGAAGACACGTTCTGTGCAGTCAGGAGAAGCTTCCCGCTGGTAGCGTGTTTGTCCTTAGGATCCTTATTCATCCAAGAACGGAAAAACGCGTGCGTCCTAAGCTGCCATTTAAACATACGAGCTTTTAAAAATATATATATATATAAATTGCTCCCCTTAGCAGCCTCAGCTTTGCTGTACCTACAGCTAATTCAACCTGTCGAATCTGGGTTTGGTTCAACGCGAGCCGAACGCAGCCACATCAAAGCCGCCGCGCCTCCGCGTGGAAAGGGCCCATCGTACGGAGAGGTAGCTAGCGAAAAGGCGCTGATTGTGCACGTTACGTCAGCCTCACCGCCAATATATTTGTGTTACTGGGGAAAGACAGCCTTGGGAACAGCTATTTCTGCATTGCTAATGGGAGCAAACGTCAGCCCGCCAGCGCTCGTACGTCTGAAGCCTGGCAAGTAACACAAACCAGTTTAGGGCCTAAACAGGAGACTGGCATCTCCAAGCAATTTCGTCGATGAAGCTATTTTCCTTTCCACAGAAACAGCGCTTGCTCTTACACCAGCTGACACACCTGCACGGCAAGAGTTAATATAATTAATCAGCGCTCTGCCAAGCTAGAAAACGTACAAAGCTACGCTCTCCGTTGCTCCTTGAAGATTGCACGATTCAGCTTCTTATCTGCCAGCCCCAGCGCGGCCGCTCCGGCCACCAGGCTGACGTTAGCCTTGCCTCCTCAGCCACCCAGGGGCCCCCATCGCTACCCTCGCCATCTGCGGAGTCCCTCTGCAACAAGTCACAAGGCGGAGGCTTAATGTTTTTATTAGCGTATGCAAAGATGAGAAGTTCTGACAAGGGAAGTACCAAATTCAGCCTTTTCCTCCCCAGAAGATGGAAGTGATTGTGTAAGCTCCCCCTCCCCTTCTAGACGCAGCAAGAATATTTAAGTATATTTAAGAATTTTTCAACTTCCTCCTTTCAGTATTGACACACCAGTGGCCATCACCGTCACTGTTTACCAGCGTTTAAAGGTTAGCTATTGCTCCCCAAAGGGGGAAACCCCGGTAAAATAGCTGTGCAATGATCAATTCCAATTTCTGGGAGTGAGGAAGAGGAAAGCGGTGAAGGCTCTGTACGGTCCGTTGGCCGCTGGGTGGGGGCTCGGCAGGCGGCTTACCTCGCACCGGGGCCGCGACGTGGTATCAGGCAGGGCGTCAGACCGGCGTTCCAGCCCACATCTTCCAGCGAGCGCCTGCTCTGTGATGTGCAAATTGTTTCAACCAGTTTCTCTACCGGGTGGAGAAACAGATCTCTATTTTTTTCATTCCAGCACTATGAGATCACATTAATATTAAAAAGGGGCATGCCCATCTCTAGAATTATAGCTCAAGACACTTTTCTTTAAAGATCTGATGCACAAATCAAAAAGACAATTATTCTGGCAGCAAATAAAGCAGTTATGGAGCTAGATCACCAGTTCCTACTACGGAGGTACTATGTCTCAGCTATACTACAGGATGCAACTTTGACAGAATGGGAGCACATCGGTGAAATTCTCATTCAAAAAAGGCGCGTTGTCAGCTCTCACGGGAGCCAATTCCCAGCTCTGGAATAATTGGAATGGATCGGAAAGGAGGTAGGAGAGTGGAGGTTAATTCCCTGGACAATTTCCAGGTTATGGCTGAAACGCCCTGTGACACTACATCGTTTTCACAACTCTCTTACAATTTCTCAGCATAAGCCGACACCGAACAAACAAACCATAAGTCCCCATCTAAAAATGTCACCTTATTGCCACTGTGGAAAGGTCACACGCTACCAGGTTCCATTTTAATTATCTGGAAAAGAAGATGAACAAAATGGGAGAGCCGTGTTCAAAAATACTTGAACGAGTTGATGAAAGAATTCGCAGTGCGAGTTCCTTAACCAGCTTGCTTTACCTTGAAGAAATTGCTTACCCTCAGCGCTGCCCCAACTGTCAAAATAAGCATATGCATATCCCTCCCAGCTTCAGCTGCAGAACGCTTTGATATCCCTTTGATGAAAGGCTCGGTGCGCTGCTCTTCCGCCATCCCGCATCGTCTCGCTCGCATAGGTTTTTGGATGCTAGTTAGTGCTTATTAGAGGGGAAAAAAGCAGAAAGCAAAAAAGTGAGGAGTGCCTTTTATTAAAGCTAATTTCTGAGGCCAACCCACACTTCCCACTGCTGGCTAAAAGACTCTTGATACTATTAACTCTGTTTGCTCAAGCCTGCATTAGAGTGTTTTAATACAGTGTGAAACCTTTTATCAGATACTGATACAGGCAAGGAGATAACTACTCGTAACACGCAATCTGGGATGGTCTAACTGCATTTTACGTCTTCCTTATTCCAATCGCAAACAGAAAATGCTGTCCTCCATTTTTTTCCGTAAAAAAGGATCCATTTTTCCAGTCAGAAGCCAACGAGACGATGATACAAAAATGTCAATTAAAGCTCAGCCAACGCGGCCCGCGTGCAGAGCGGCGAGAGGGAAGGAAGTTCACACTGACAAAATAAACGCCTTCAGAAGGCGACTTAACGCTTGGCCAAAGCTTCCTGCAGCAAGGAAAGTTTTGGTTCTTAAAATTTTCCTTTTTGGTTAGCAACAGGTGCTCTTGAAATTATTCAAGTCAAGCCTAACACAGAAATGCGGCTCTGCAATGGTAATAAGATGCTACCATTCGCTCTGGACCCCGGTACGCGGAACTACAACCTGACAGATCGTATCAGGACCAGCACAAAGCTTATTACTCAAAATAACGCTTGCGATAGTTAAAACCTTCCTACCGATCAGCACTGGGCAAAGGAGATTTTACATCAGCCTGCTTCCTCTTTATAAATAAATACATACAAGGCTGGTCTAGCTTTTGATGTGTGTTTAAAGACAAAAGTTCACTAAACAAATATTTTTAACTACTTTGATGTAAAGAATAATGGAAACGGTAGTCTGCACGCATTAGGAAAGTGTTTGGCTAGGAAAGGACTGTTTCACTATCAGCAAACAGCACAGACCAAATTAACCAGATGATTCA